GTTGACAGACTGGCGTCTGATTGTTGCGAAATCACATCAATAGCCCTGTAGTACATCTTTGGCTAGGTAAACGAGAAACGTCAGCAACTTGAAGGTGTCTCACCCCAAAAATTCTGGTGACATTATTGTCGCAGCGTCATTCTGTCAGGTGTCATCACTCCGACGACTAAGATGTTCTCGGTGACGAGGTGCAAGCGCGAGCCTTGGCCCGACTCCTCTCGGCCTGTCTCACCCCCGGATGTGCACTGGGTTGTATTTCAATGCTGATCGCTACTCAACATTGTATCTTGTACAGCCCATGCCCGTAGATGGGGAGCCATCACTAGCGAGCGAGGCGCCCTGCATGGCCGTGCTGCCACCACCTCTGTCATTCGCAGACTGGAATGCAGCCGCAGTAGGTTTGTCCATGATCCGGCTGTGGATAGACAGTATAAATGCCTTCGGCGTGTCTGGAAATCCTCAACGAACACCCAGCATCTTTAACGCACCCTCTCATCTAAAGAATCCACTATGGTACACACTGGACCCGGACCAGTCATCCCGAATCTCGTCTCTTGGACGGAGAATAGCTTGTCGGCAATCTACAAAGCCAAGACCGACGCCGAATTTGAGACCGCCTTCAAGGATTTCGTCGCCGACGACGCTCGCATCACGGTGAATGGCAAACACTTCACTCGTCAACAATACAAGGAGCGTCTGCAAGCAGCGAAGGGAACTACCCTTGCAACCCCAGAGCTGACATTCAACGATGCAATTGAAGTTCCCTCGAACCAGGACCACCCTACAGCGGTATGGGCTCATTAAAGAAATTCCGACAGCTGTAGCTTACCGTCCATTGGTAGGCGGGTTCGGTTGGTCTCTACTACCACGCAATCGTCTATCATCCTTTTAAGGTCCACGATGCTTTCGCTTCGAGCACAATTACATCGTCACTTAACGTCCAGTCAGTGGTTTTTCGTTATAAGCCCTTTTGTTTATATTGTCAACTCATGTCGGCCATTCAGGATCGCGGACCTCAACCCGGTCGAGTCGGCGTACCCGGTTCGTCGCGGAGTGGTCTTTGATGAAGTGGTCGTGGAACAAGCCAATGATGAGGTTAGATCCTCTTAAACGTGAGACAGCTGGGGGGGGCAATTAGAATCACATTTTGGTCTAAATTTGCCTGTGCTACGATAATATGCTTGGTTATATTGCATTGTAGTTCAATCATATAATACTCTGAGTTCTGGTAAACATATATGGCATTGTTCCCGTCCGCACAAGATGAAAACCTTCACCGTTGCATTGCTTCAGAAGCCAGGGACACTTCGTACAACTAGATGGTAGAGGGTGGACTACCGCATTGGGGGGAAACTATGACCACGAAGGCAGTAGTGCGAGTCACAAAATCCGCCAGATAGACCGTCCACTAAGTAGTGTGGCTCTGGTTACATTACAGCAATGGTATACTGCTCTAATATGTAAATCCTAGTGTACAACAGCACCTTGTATATGTCTGCTTGCTCCATGTAGATGTGTATGTCCATTGTCTAATATGTTAGAGCTGATATGGTGAATACCCAGCGAATAAAAGTAGGAATAAATGGAGAAGAAACAAGGCGATCTTCTCTTTCAGCAACAGAGTCCTGCATCATCACACTATGATTTAGGCGGCGTTGGGGGAGCGGCCACCTGTACTTGACTCTCTGTCTGAGCTTTCAGCCAGGTTCCCAGCCCCACAGCGATAGATCCAATTGCATGCGCTGTGCTGCTCGCCAGAAACGCGCCTCCTGCACCTGCAGAGAGCGCTGGAATGGCGGGGAGAGACCCAACGGTGATTAAAACCGCGGAGAGCGTAGTCATCACTTTAGGGTGCTCAGACGCGAGGTAGTCCAACGACTGACACGCGTTCACAAGCCAGAGGGGGGCGTGGGTGATCATGGTCGTGGCTGCGGCAGCAATTCGATCATTAGTGGTGGTACATTGTATTTGACGAGTCTACTCACTATCATTAATATCTTCAGCAGGTGTCATCGCAGGTGTCATCACAGGCGTGCTCTTGGGTGTAGAGTGTTTGGAAGAGAATACGGAGGCGATCGAAGTGACTGTCTCGATAGAGCTCGCGGTAACAGAGCGTTTGGGCGTCGGCAGGGCCTTCGTTGTCATGACCTCGCACATTGAATTTGACTTCGATGGCAAAGGAGGTTTTGACGGTGCAGACGAAGTAGGCTCTGCTGGTTTCGAATCAGAGTCATTGCCCCTTCCTACGATCCACCATAAACCGGATGGCTTGCTCTGAACCTTGATAGCCTCTGTCCTCGAAACATCAATATCCCCTGTACAGCATTCATACGTCAGCTCCAACACGAAACGCGCAGGAAACGCGCAGGAAACGCGCAGGAAACTCACATCCCATGTTGCGCATAGCGACCTTAAAAGATTTCCAATTCCACTTGTACTTGCCACCATGCATGTTCTTCATCACCAGCTTCACTTCATCAAGGCGACCCTTTGCCTTTGGCCCCAAGTAATGCTGCCCGACCTTATGCCAGTAATCCCGCGGCACTTTCCGCTCGATGCTACCCGCTTTAATCTGAGCCAGCCAGTCATTGACAAGGGGATCCTTCTTCGGATTCCCGAGAAAAACAGGGGCGTCAGACCAGGACGCAAAGATGGGCTCAAGGTCGAAAGGCTGGATCTTGAACGCGTCGAGCATTCTCAGAAAAGAGAGTTAGAGCCAAAAGGTAATACGAATGAGGATGTCCTGAGGCCCACAGCGATTCAGAGCAGGGCATTATAAGTCGACTACTCGCCTCGTTGTTGCAACGCCATATCGGCTGCGATGGTCTGGATTTAGAATACGCGCTCCGGCGAAGCGAAAGAGGGGGCTCCTCCATATACATCGCTGAAACAAGGCCACGATGAGCCCGCCGATCCAGACAGCAGAGCATCCCTTGGTAGGTCGGAACGCGCTAGAAGCAAGTCGAGCTGTGCGCCTCGTTGTGCACACGCTGTCTGAAATGAACCGGCGCTCCTGCCTTCGGCTAGACACCTCACCAGGTCTCCAGCTGGTTTCGGATCCTGGGTCATGCACATTCTAGTATATGGACAGGGGACGATTCATAATTCAAGCCGATCCATCAGGTGGTACTCACGAATCAATGACATGCTGTAGGCTCTCGAATCTTGGATTTCCGAGGTGTAAAGAGTCCAGCATGTATACAATACAGTAGTAGATGAACAGCAATCCGAGCATGATCAGCGAGTCTGTAAAACCAGTCCGGCTCCCTATAGAAATATTCAAGAAAATGCGGATGTCCGAAGTTCTGTTTGAAGTCAAGTTCAAAGACGAGTTCGCCTTCATTGTTGTGGCAAAGTGCTACATAGTGCAGTCCAAGTGGTAATTGTCAGAAGCTCAGTAAACGCTCATCACAAGGGAAACGTAGCATCATGTGATCGCGCTGTTACAACGACGTGTAGTGGCATTATAATCTCCTACAACGCTTACTTTACTCGCCTCGCCGCATCACAGTTTCCGCTCTATATTCACTTCACGAGAGCCTAATGGATATCAGTTTCCGCAAGATAGACATTGATCAGTACGACGAGGATGTATTGCTCGAGAGTGAGCTCTACGAACCAGATCCACGCGATCCGGCACAGGTTTTGGACGATACGAAGCAAAAGACGGCAACTGTCCGGACAGCCCTCTCAAGGTACGATTACGCTAGTTTTCCATGGCCTCCTGGTGTTGATGGTAGCGTCATCGTATAGAGGAGATGTCACGGGCGCACTTAACATAATCCTAGAGGGTGCTCCATATGGCCCTAATGTTGATGAAGCTAAAGTATGTGCCCATTAGTTGCGGTTTCATCTATGAAAATGACTCCTTTTCAGAACCTGACCCTCCAGACACTCGTATCTATTCTGAATAGTACCAAATCGACCGAGATTCCGGGCGTCGTCAGGTCGTTGTCGCCGGATGCGCAAGATACGTTGATGAAGTATCTGTACAAAGGAATGGCATTGCCCGGATGGGGGGACCTTAGCGGTAGTGTACTGCTGGGCTGGCACGAAAAGGTGTGCATTTCACTGATCGTAAACTGGTTCAGTTCCGACTGATATCCTGTTCCGCAGCTGACCGAGGTTGCTGGGACGGGCTGCATAGTAAGGGCCATGACAGACCGGAGGATTGTATGATATTTTATAGAGTTGGGAGTTGGTGCTGCAGTAATTTGAAAGCAGCTGTGTAACCATTACATATCTCATATCTTTGAGCATTAAGAAGCCGGTCGTTCGAAGAGGCTATCCATTCAGATAGAGACTCAGATATATCATCTGTTTTTCCACACAATATGTCAACAAGATAACTGAGAGGCTTGCAACCGCAGTGCGACGATCTCCGATGTTGGCGTTAAGGCATCGTAGGAGTCAGGTGTTTCGTCAGTGTTATCAGCCACTTGCGCCAAACCAAACCAAATCCGTATCTCTTCCTCTTTCCATCACCATCGCAGACCATCGTCTGCGACCGCGCTCGCCCTGTTATAGCCACCTCGTTTTATGCACAGTAGGCCCATTGAAGCTCATAATTACAAAGACGCAGCTCGAAAGAAACTCTCGCATTCGCTCATCCACCATCACGCACAGCATGGCAAGTCAACTGGCGGCAGCTCCAGCACGAGTCTCTTACTCCGTGTACCATCCGAATCACTCACTCATATTACATCTTTCCTCAACCCGCCAACACTATTTGTCCTCTCATGTACCAACAAGGAACTCTATGCCCACGTAAAGGACGATAATACCTGGCGACGGGCGTATGTCTATCAATACCTCGGGATCTCCCCTGAGAGCGATTTGCACAACGATGCTGATCGTAAGAGTTTGATGCTGCGCCGTGAAGAAAGTACATGGAGAAAGGAATTTGTGGTTCGGTACAATCTCCGAAGGTACGTCATTGTCATATACCCTACGATTTCAGAAAGATCGGCTGTTTGTCGTCGACACGCCTTTGCTTCGAGGTTCGCGGACTGTCACTGTTGGAATGTGGTTTGTGTACGGCGAGCATGCTCCTCTACCTTTCATGGACACCACATATGTGTGGAGATCAGCTCGATTCGACATTGGGTCATCGAGATCCCTCATGATGGAGCACGATATAATACCAGCAGTGTCGTCCTGGTGGAGTGGCATAAATTCTGCCATTACTCAGCGTAATTTCGGTTCCGCTACGCAGCTACAACAGGAGCTGGTTTGTTACTGTGTCTGAATTGATTTGGTTGGGTTGACATGTTGCCGAGGCGATTTTCTTCTCGTCTCATACATTTGGCGATCAGCTTCCCTTCAGGAGTCTAGTGAAGCATTAGTCTACATAAGTTGCTCCAAGATTATCCCACATTGCAGATCTCACGATATACGCTTTCTATCATCTATATTTTGGTTGTACTTACACTCGCCATCTTTCTCACGCAGACGTTGGGAGTGGTCCCGCAACCAGACGGTCACCCACATCCCCCTGAGTTCACACGTCTCAGCAATGCACCTAATGCCTTCCACATCTCTATTAACGGCCTCCCTGTATTACGGCGTGGTTGCTCGGTCCTATCCACTCAGAGGCAAGGTTTTACGAGGCTTCCTGGACGCATCCGGAACGGCCAACGGGCTGGGTTGGGGAAACCCGAACGCGGAGTTTTCGCCGCACCTCAGCGCGATTGCGCTCGCCTCGGAGGGGCTTAGTGCACGCATTCTCTGGGGTTTCAGGAATGGAGAGGTCGCGGTCACGACGGCGGCGCGAGCGATGGACGAAGGTCGCGTGTCGGCAGCGAAGCATGTGCGCTGCAAGCCGCGTGAGTGTCACGACGGCGTGGTCCTTGATGTCGCATGGGGCATGGACGGAGTCAGTGGGTCTGAAGGTCTAGCCCCCTTCGTGACTGGAGCTGCGGACGGACGGATCAAGCTTTGGAACGCTAAGAGACTGGCATGCTTGTGGACTTCAGAGCGCAAGTCGGGCCTTGTGGCGGACGCCTGTGTCAAGGTGAGGATGAACGTTTCCTGCGGCATCGTTGCGGGTGCAATGGAGAGTGGAGATGTTGTCTTGTGGTCTGGGCTTGCTTCACTCCTGTCGGAAGAAGGTAGTGGTCTTCAAACCACGCCCCACGAGATTCGGCTCCCTGCTGTCCGGAAGCTCAATACCCCTGCGAATTCGGATGACCTACACGAAATTTCTGCGCTTCATTTAACGATAGGTCCTGATGACACCAAAGTATCTATCCTAGTATCATATCGCCAGGACCCGCACTTTTATCGTCTCAATATCAATCTCGCAACAGACGAGGTTGAGCGCCTGTCCTTCGGGGACGGTTCGTTTGGATCTATTCATTCGCTGCAGCCGGTGTTTGCGATTCGGAAAGACGAGTCGGACTTCGTCATCGTCGGCGATCAACTAGGTTACGTTGGCATTTTCGATTGGACTGCGCACCCCACTGCTCCTGCCAGTACCATTTCTCCCGTGCGCCGATTTCTCGCTCATGAGGATGGCGCAGTTACTGCTCTTTCATGGAGTACCACTGTATTTGTATCTGGTTCCGCGCGTGGAACGCTGAAGGTGTGGGATTCGTTGACGTTCGCTCCACTTCGCACATTCGTGTTCCCTTCAAGCCGTCCTACTGGCGGTGCTGAGTGGGATGCAGTTCAGCAAATCCTACTTGACAAGGATGTTCTCGTGGCATCAATTGCGAACAAGGTCGTCGCATGGCAAGCAGGGCGTGTTGAGACCCATAATAAGAAGGGTAAGGGCAAGCAAGTCAGGACAACTAAAAACAGTGGACTGGCAAAGTGGCAACGTAAGTATACGTCCGTTCGTATTGTTTGAAGAGTTCTGATGTATCTTTGTTGTACCAGAACAAATAGAACTCTCTCGCGACATCGCCGACTCACGCAGAGATTTAGAGGAGGAACAAACACATACGCGCCGCGTGTTTGGACGCGAAAGGGAACAACAGTCCACTCTTGCGCATCTCGGCTTGAATGAAGTCGAAGCGCTCGAGTACGTTCTTATGTTGAGCCGAGACGAAGAGGAAAGAAGACATCGACAGTCATCTGCCCGCGTTCAGGATGAAGGCGTCTTTATGTCTGACTTCGATGACGTGGACTCTCTAGGATCTACTCCTTTAGATACCAATAATGGATCTTTGGTCTCTGGGTCGTCTCGATCATCGTCGTTCTCCAACGGGGTCCCTTCCAGGAATAGCGTAGTTATAAGCGGGCGTTCTGTTCCGCGTACTGTATCTTCATCGTCAAATCACAAGATCCAAATATCTCCTCGAATGGATCCTGAACCAGTGGAGGCAGGTTTTGGCACGAGTCCGTTAGGCTCAATGGTGTTGTCATTTGGTACGCAGGGCGATAGCCCTCTGCCCATTACATCCGACATGGAACAGTTCCCCGTTATCAGTCGAACCCCATCTTCGTCTGGTGCTTCCCTTACCAGTGCGCCTGCCAGTCCAATCGGGGTTGTTCGACATTCCATGTCTGGCAGCCCTGAATCTTTCCGCAGCGTCTGGAGCACCCCTTTACAATCCTGGCAATCCTCGTCTTCGGTTCATTCATCACCTCGCGGTCCCATTGCGTCATCTCCATCTGCTATGGTTCAGCGGATCGTCCCGCCTATTCGCCAGTCTGTGTCTGGACCTTCTTTGATCGCAACAGGATTTGCAAGGCAAACGAATCCGGGCGTGAGTTCACACTCCTTCGTTGGAGAGACGAATGAAGACGATGATTTGCGCTTTGCGTTGGAGTTGAGTCTCGCTGAGGCTGTGAGTCGGGGAGAACATGCTTAATGATTAGATGAGCTTGACTGCGGAGAAGGGAGACATGCACGAATAGACGCTCCCCAGTAATTTTTATGCGACGGTATGAATTGTTCATTGCAAACTCTTAGACTTTTAGACAGCTATAGCTTTGACTCATTTTTATGATCGAATTATAATATGGGACTTCTATGCATTCTTTATGCATTTACGCTGTTCATGCACGGGCAAAGTCGAGTGTCGTCCCGCTGGACGACGGCATCAATCGATCAAACAGAGAAAGACATTCTGGACGTTGAGAAAATACGTGTTGATATCGCGTGCATGTTACGTTTTGATGAGCAGTCCCTCGCTGTCAGGTTCACGTTTCGCTAATCCTACTAAAGGGTATCATTTGTCTTTCCAAATTTTCGATGAATCGTCTCGTTTTGAATGGTCACATTTCCCAATTTCCAATATGAACATTGTAGTCAAGGCTTCACTCTTCATGTGAGTCGCCCGCTCAAGTCTCCTCTGGAGCACGCGATAGAAAGAGAAGAGATTGGCCAACAAGCAAGCGAACACTAAGAGTGGCTATCAGGCGCTGCGTGGTTGATTTCATTCTCAACTTTGAAGCAAGAGCTTCATGTGTATTGGGACTGCCGTTGTGTTGAGAGGGCTCGCATTTTGCAAATATACTCGAGTATCTGTGAATGATCTCAGCAGAGTCAGCACCCCGAGCCCATTTAGAGCAATGATTGAAAGGCATGTTTTGTAGATGACTATTCCGGCGGTGGCTTCATGATGCTGGACACTGCTGATAGACAAGCCGAGTGGGAGAATTTGGTGCTGCTAGAAATTCAGGATAAGTCTCTCACCGGTGGCCAGTGGGAATGACTGCGAACATAGAGATACGGAAGGCGGCGCGACCTGTGAGACCTCCCTCAAAGCTCTATGTACATACTTGCAGATGTCGGCGAATCTGCGCGGAACCCTAATCCGCGATGCACGCGGATCTAGTGCCGTGAATTCCCTAGTAATTATTTGCGATACCCCTTTCACTCTCGACCACCACCGCATCTCAACACTGGTCACAGCCATGACTGCTCTCCCGGTTGACCTTCCCGCGCGACTCATGCTTTCCCCTACAATAAGAGGTGCATACACCTTCATTCTGCAATTCGAAGCGTCTGCGAAAAATCATTCCGACCCCAAACAGTTGATCTACGCCAGGATTCTCGGATACCTTATCCTCGAGGGGCCGTCAGACGATGCCCGAGAAACTGTTGTGCACGATATAGTTTCTTGCAACACAGGAGAAGGAATGGATGTCAAGTTGGCAGCCGTTGGGAAGATGTATCTCGATTATTGCATTCGTCCGTGTAAGCTCTTGCTCCCTGTTCTCGCTTGCCCCACTTCAGTGACGGTCTTGCAGTCGAGAAAATTAAGGCTCGGACGTCCACCCCATTTACACATTCATCTCGATCGTCATTTGGCACTCGCAAGGAGATGATCAAGCGCGCAATGGAAGAGCCCGCTCGATCACACCAGCAGGCGAAAACGAAAGTAAGTGCTGCGATCTGCTTTCATTGCTCAGCGAGAGAAAAGGTTCATCACGATGCTTGTCGAGGCGTTGGTCAGGGACAACTTGTAATGTGTTGTCACTGGATCCCTTGAAATTACTGTGACAAAAAAGGACGTCGAGCTACGACGGTTAGTCAGTGATGAGCATAGGTTTGTGGTAGCTACGTAATGTGCCCACATCTTCCCAGACTTTACGAATATGAACATCTCGTCCGCCGAGAGCGGCGACAAGGTGGGCATTCTGTTTACTTCGGAGTGGTGTTTGAGTGCTTAAAGCAGGTACAGTATGACCATTTTGCTTCCGTCTGGGCGGTCATGGAGCGGTTCGGCTATACACGTTTGTATTCGGAGCTCAACGGCAACCTCGTGAATCGTCTGGAAAATGTCTTGACCCTGCAAGCTGATATGCATCACTTGTTTGATATCTTAGAGCTCTGGTTTGAGGCCACGGTCAGCGATACATCGCTCTTGTGCACCATGGCACTGCTCAAAAAATCTACTAGGACAAGCCCTACACCTACAATATTGTTTCACCGGATCCAGTGTATATCCCGCCGAACGCTAAAAGGACTGTGGTATTCAAGACGCCAGATCCAGAGAAACTCCCCCTCCCATTGCAGCTCTACCTCAACATCCATGCTGCGTGCTGCCGGGTGGCCAATCTGTCCGGAGCGAGCAAGTATATTGACAACGTTATGAGGGAACTCGAATACGCAAGTGTTCTTTCTAATGATGGCGGTTCTGCGGAGCTACTCGAGCACGCGCTCCTTACTTCGGGCCAACAGACCAGAATGTTCTGACATTGACATGTCTTATCTGTATATGTGTCATCATTTCCCCTTGTGTTGCTGTTTTTTTGTAGTGCAAGTACTGTATGTTCTTTTTGCTGCCTCTGTCACTACATTTGTCTTCCATCATGTGCTGTCGGCATTGCAAATGTCGCTCGACGGGCATCGGGCGCCTTTTCCGTGTACAACTCATGCTGAACCACATGTTCACCGCGCACGGCGCAGAATAGTAGATTGTTCCTGAAACAGTTGCGGCACCGACCTGATCAGAGCTGCGGAGCTGACAGGCATCATTGTGCAATCTGACAGTGGCCCAACTGGCTCCTGCAGATGCATATCTTGCCTATGAAAGTCAGTGACTATCTCCTGTTTGTCTCCTGAATAAGCTTATGCGCAACTCAGGAGAAACGGAACGTGGCAGGCACAGTTTTCCGGAGCGATGATAGTCGCTTCAATCGATCTTCCCGCACGAATACAAGTAGCCAGTCGTTGTCCATCTCAATGTATCTGCTGATCAGGCCAAGTATCTATGTGGTCCTGATGGCCTTCTAGCGGCGCTCGTAGCGTTGACAGTGTTCTGGGAACATATGTCTCGGGGTAATGGCAGAACAACAAGCCAATGGTAGGAGCTCTGCAGGAGACGGCGTAAATCATCGCCTTCGTGATAGGGTCAAGGGTTTCCCTTCGTATTCAAACGTGAGCGCTCTTTAGATGTGGCAGCTCGAATGCAGAGTGCATGCTGTATTAGTGAGAATTCGTGCAATTTTCCTTGAAATACCGCATTCGGTCTCTAGAACCAGGTATAAAACGTCGGATGAGTAGGAGCACATATCATGTGTGTCCTACACTCTCCATCGTACTAGTATCATATCGATTGCCCATAGTGCATCTTCATCCCATCAGTTGTATCTGTACCCTCTGACGAGAATACGATTTCATCGCATCCTTCACACCCTTAAAGCATAGGTGCGTTCGAAGTCGAGATTATTCACCCAAAGTCAATGTCTTATTCCTAATATTACCAGATTAGCCATGGCGACTACTCCACTAGTGGTTCTCGGCAACATCATGACCCTCGTCGGCGCTGGCGAGGCCCTCTATTCCGCGTACGAGGTAGCCAATGCAAAAGATACCATCACAATCGACGACGCAGTCCGCCTTGTCAACTCCACCAACGTGAAGTTGTTCGCAGGACAGCAGTTCTCAAACATACGAACGGCTCGCACCGACTTCTACGACACGTACCTTCCCAGCGTCACCTCCAAAAGCTCGATCAAAAAAGATGAAATTGTAGAGCCCGGCTATCTTGCACAGACATACAAGTCCATCATAGATGGCGAGAAGACAGTGTGGGAATCCCTGCAGCAGCTTGACTGGATTTTCTCCAATAATGACCTCCATATCGATGACTACAACTTTTTCGCGCGGCTTTTCGGCCAAGGATACGCGCTCCTTCTCCACATGCACTCCATCCTTGTCCACCTACGATCTGTCGAGCTTCTCGACAAGCTCGACCTGGACGACTACAGGCTCCTGCCGGAGACGCTGCGTCTCTTATCGTTCATCAGCAAGATTCTGGAGCAGGTCGACAATATGAACAGCAAGGTCCGCACACTACGTCTCGGAAAGATCTCTCAAGTCCAAACAAAGTTCGACAGTACGGGGACATCAGCGACGCTCTGGTGGGACGACAATTACGAGAAGCTGGGCTCTACCGCCTCCGACCAGGCCATTGATGGGAGCAAGGTCTCTGGCCACTGCGTCGAAATGCTCACCGCCTTCAGCGACCCCACCAACAGCGTCAACCAGAAGAGGCAAGACCGCGTTGATTATATTACGAACATCTACACAGCTCTCACGGGGGAATTCCTTGAAAAATTGCTCAAAGATACGAAGACTTTGAAGGTGAAAATCGATGCTCGGAAGACGAAGCAGGAAGCGGCGAAAAAGACCGCCGAAGAGGTCTGTTCTGAATCTCTTCACGCTTAGTGCTTCTTGAGACTGATAAGATATACAAACAGAACGCCAAAAAAACAAGCGGAATTCTCAGGCTCCGCGATTACGGAATGGATTGAGGAAAATCGTTGTTTTGGGGATCATGTCGTAGAGCGCGTCTGATCGCCGGGTTACGGGGAGACAGCAACGACGGTCTGTAGGAAGGCGTGTGTGGAACAATTTTGTACATTAGCAGCTTACCTGATCAAATTGGGGGGGACAACTGAACCCACCGCGATGCAGATCTACACAAGGCCATATACCTTAGGTGCGACCTATTGGCCACTCTAACTTTCTGGGGACATCAAATTCTCTCACCCCACTTGTCTGTGAGCAGTACCCACGTCGTGAATCTACTCCTTCAGAAGTTGGATGTGAACAGATCGGCAAGCACAAAACATACCCATCGTCCGCTACAAAATTCAGTGCTGACGAGTTGTAAATCACGCAACCCCATGAGCCCGCAGAAAATCGTGAATATTCGCAGAGCGCAAGACTATTGACACAACGAACACAGCATAATCCTTCCACAATCACCACACGCGTACGGGTCTCAGGGATCAGTTCAGCCCTGGAAATGTTGAGAGCTACCCTTGGTGTTTGGCTGCTTCTCGGCCTCCTTCTTTGTGGCAGGCTTCGGAGACGGTTTTGCTTTCTCCTTCTTTTCCACTTCCTCCTTCTCCTCCTTCTCCTTCTTCGCCTTCGCCTTCTTCTCCTCCTTCTCCTTCTTCTCCTTCTTCTTGTCAGATTCCAGTTTCTTAAAGAACGCCTTCTCCTCGCGTTCGTCCTCGCTGCCTTCTACGTGACAGACGAGACGCAACTCACGCGCGAATTTGCGCAGCGACTCTTCGCGCCGCTCGAGGTCGTACAACTGTCGTGCGACGTACGTGTACGCGTCGTCACGGCGGTCGAGGTACTCGACATCCCGTCGAGTCAAATCGTCCCACTCTCTTGCCATATGGAACTGTGGCTCTCGAGACTGGAGGCTGCCCAAGTCACGGGCATAAAAAGTATCGAAGGAGAAGGCACTAGTGACTATCGTGAATAGTGAGTCCAAAATCTCTCAGGACGAACGTACCTCGCCAACAGGGGAGCAGCAAAGGCAGTACCAAAAGCAACAATCATGGTAGCGCGCATGATGAAAATGTTTGTAGAGGTGGTGGTCGTGAAAATGCGTGTCGTTGTGAATAGGCGTAAATGAACGAATCAAATCAAGCTTATGATAGCAATCCATATGTTCAGCAACGTTCCCCATTAGAACGGTTTTAAACACTTACTATCCAGTACTTGAAGTTGACGACGCTTTGCTCACACAGATCAACTGAGGGCTGAGGAAACAAGGACGGATCCGACTCACTCTTTATAGGGATGCAACAACAGCATCCGGTTCACTACAGAAGGCGAAAGAGCCGTGTAGCTTTGCCATTTGCCATGCTTTCCTCGGCCGCGGCGTCCAAGCCGAAATTCTTACCAAAATTATATTGCACCCGTTCACATTTCGGCCAGCGGACTGGACGATCCTCCGTGATCTTCAACGGAACTACGACCAAGCGAACCGGCGGATCTCGCGGCATTCAAAGTAGAGGTTCATGTCCAATGATATAGATCATTCCATCAGTATGGGTGCACCGCCACATAGCTAGGAAGTACTTATCTTTGCCTAGACTTCTTTTTCACTCCGACTGTGCCGACAAGACATAGCATATAAACATATCTTCTCCTTCAAAACTTCCCTGTGCATTTATATTCGTAAAACTGCTGGCGGAAATAAATTTCAATATAACTCACGATTGATATAGTCATTTTTTCTCCAAGCCAGGTCAAGGTGCCGCTGAGGAACGAAGTACCATGATGGGTTCTTGATGTATTTTCCCGCCCAAACGGCCCTGAACCGATCACACTCGGGTCCTGTGGGTTACGTTCCGGAAGATTTAACGTAGAGCGGAAGCGATGCATCCGGAGAGAGGATACTGCCGACAAGAACTCAGACGGATCAGATTAAGAGAAATGCGAGCTCGCGCTAACGGGAAAAGCGAGCAACGAGCCTGCAATGAGTCTTGCAAGTTCCGCAGTTGTCTCGAGGCTTAACCAGCAATTTTAGAAATTTAAGCTACAACACAAAACGATCTCTTTTGGCGCACCGATACCAGCATGAACATGAAATGGAAGTGATAGCCAGTTACACTGGGCAATGCTTCACGATTTGCGTCAAAAAACTGGTATTTAACCTGGCATGCTCGGCCATGAGGCGTGAGCACTAAATGGCCGTCGGAGATTTGCTCACCTGAGCCGCATCCGAAGACAGCAACTTTATGACCCATTCCTTCGGGGCCCTTTCTGCGGCTGCAGTCAGCTCGTAAGTCAGAAGCGGCTTGATACGTCTCCTTGCACTGGATAGCGGCCTTGTGATCTGGAAGCGGCTGTTCGAACAGTGCTTAAGGGCCTTAGCACTCAATTGTCGCTTGCGCAAGCAGATTATAATCGTCAGACGCAGCTCCAAGGTGGTACCTGTGTATATTTAAAAAAAAAACACGACTACAAGTCGTGTCCTTCTGGTTTGTGCGGAAGGGTATATACAGCAATGCGCAGCGAAAATTCTGAGAACACGTACTCTTACAACGTGAGCAAACTTCGACCCGCACGCTCAGCGGCCGCCGCATCTGCTCGTCGCCTCGTAGATCTGGTCTCGTACCCAGACGTGTCTTCGACACGTCTGGGCACGAGACCACGTAGATCCGTCTTCGTGCGAACAAAGACGATCGAGGCACCATCGCATACGCGAGATATCTTTGGAAATCACTACAGCGTAGCAAGAGGCGGGGCACTTGAGAAGCAACAGGGAAATAAAGAGGTTGTATACCTCTGTGTGCAGGCTCGCTATGCTGTAGGACACACCAATTGTGAAAACGACGACGCCGGTCAGATACGCTCCATTTAGTTGGGCTCGTACCCAGACGTGTCTTCGACACGTCTGGGGTAGCCCCCCCCCTTCCAGAGGCACCCGCTAAGCGCCCCTTGTAACGGTCACACTGGCCTTCTCGGCCCGTCATAGTACTGGAAAAATGAGATTGAATCACCCGATCGCACTCCATTTTGGGTGGCTACGCCTTGAGCGCGTCGTCGCGAGTAGTCGAATACACGAATGAAACTTGTTCTTAGTTTAGTACTGTGGATATTAGACTCGTATTTTCTGTGTTGAGAGGCCCTCCAGATGGCTAACAGAGCCTATATTCAACAACATGCAAGTGATGGTTTTTCCAGATCCTATACCCTCAATGACAGAACCATCCAGACCATGAAACAAGTCTTCAGTGGCATCTAGCATGTTTGTTTCCCTTTGTGCTGGTGATTTTATTCTTCTGCCCTTCTCTGCTGGATAGTGTTCATGTCAAGTCCATGTGGTTCAGCTGCTCTTTGAGTGGTGTGCAGGTTTTTGTAGGCCTGCTCTTGTCACTACTTATGACTCAGTGAGCAGCTTGGCCATTTTACATGTTCCACAGTATGGTATGGTACAGGAATGATGATTGTAGGTGTGGTCTTTCATTCATGTTTTTGACTACTTGTGACAACATGCTCAAGGCATAGCTACCCAAAATGGAGTGCAATTGGGTGATTCAATCTCATTTTTCTAGAACTATGATGGGCTGAGAAGGCCAGTGTGACCGTTACAAGGGGCGCTTAGCGGGCACCTCTGGAAGGGGGGGGGTCTCTGCTAGGCTACCCCAGATGTGTCTTCAACATGTCTGGGCATGAGACCACATTTAGTGATGTACCAAGTCATGATCAACCGATAGCTGAATAGGACAACATTCACAGGTTGCTCGAGATAGCCTGATAGTGCAACTGTGAGTTGCACATTCCATGGTGAGAGCACATGGATGGTGTCTGGGCAACTTAGAGAGCAAAAGATATCTTGTAAGGATGATCAATTCAGATACTGCCCTACCCTGATATCACATCTAGCTGGGAAGACCTATCAAGGAAGTCCACACAGAGAGCTTAAGATTGCCATGGGAGCTATTGTAAGATGTGCATTGTCTTGCTCTGAGACATGTAAAGCTGAATGTGCCTCGTGACAAGCATACTAAGGTTAATGTTGACTAGTCACAATGAGAACATCAGGAAAACATACATGCAGAAAGCAATATGTTAAGGGAGGGATTGTTACAGTCTTGAGGGGGGGTTCTCTTTTCTTCCTTACAATTTGTTGTTGACCCTGTACTATCACAACTGCTTGGTGCATTTCACCTGCATCACTGTTTCATATATATTGTGTTTCACCTTTATCATGTTTCTGTTGAAATATAATAGTGGCAATAAACCTTACCTGTGTTGACTAG